GGTTTCGCTGTGTCACGCCGCCTCTGGGTTTGACTTGATCACCCGTCAATTGCAGGCGTGACTGTCAGCCTGGGACCTGGCTTTGATCTTCCTTCTGTTGTTTCTTTTTAAGGTGGATGCTTCTTGCTTGAGTTAGGGCTGTTGTCTAGTTCTTCAGCTGTTGGTATTTAAACTTTATCTCCTCAGGACGGGCTGGTGCTGGAGGTTGATTCTATCACCTATACATCCCTCATTCACACATCTTAACTAGACTAATAAAATTACAGCAGGGTTTGCAAAAATGAAGGTTGCAGCAAGCCCTTACAAACTAACAAATTTATTAGAGCATAAGCTTTCGTGGACTACAGCCCACTTCTTCGGATGCATAATGTAGGCAAAATGGAATGAAAGTTACAATGTAGGCAAAATGGCAAGTGTAATGAAAGTTACAATGTAGGCAACAGAAGTTACAATGGTACAGTGGATAACTTAAAAACAATTTCATTCACATTGGTTCTACATTAGGAAGGATCAGCCCCTAATGTGGCCCATTTGACGAATCAGTAATACAACAGAAAAAGGAGTGATCCTCTGCCCAGCGGCTTAACATGAGTCAAATATCCAAATGTGGTGATACTTGCTCTCTTCTATTCCTATTAATGTTTTGAGTTAATAGGTGTAAAGCAGGACAGATCTAGGAGACAACAGAAGTAGACGTCTCCCTAAAATCAAGTTTGAGGAAAAATAATGGGAGCTACATTGGTTTTGCAAGTTAACCGAGACAAAACTTACAAAAGAACTCTGGCAAAAGAAAGAAGCAGCCCTTGTGACAATTGTGTTTGAAATTTACTTTGCAGTTACTTTGTGGCCCACATCTCAAGGTTGTTGGCTCTTTCTGTATATTGTATTAGATTAAGAGTTTGAGGGGAGAGTGCGCTCTAGTGGCTGAATTATAACTTGCTCCATATAAAATTTCATTAACTTTTTATTACTGTTTTAGGACATTTGCACAGAACTGTAGAAACATTGAACATTTGAATCTAAACGGATGTACAAAAATTACTGACAGGTAGGTGAAAGTCTTTTTCCATGTGATAGTGAAATTTGAAAAAAGAAGTGACTGAAGATATTTTTAGTGTGTCTGCTGTTTTGCAGCACGTGTTATAGCCTTAGCAAATTCTGTACCAAGCTGAAACATCTGGATCTGACATCCTGTGTATCTATTACAAACAGCTCTTTGAAAGGTTTAAGGTAAGAACATTTATTCATGTTAAAAGACTATTTTGAAGAACATTTACTGAAATCACATATTTCTCAATATTTCTTGAAACTTAATACTGTGTATCAGCCTCATTTATGCACTATACCTAGCATTTCTAAAGGTGTAATGTATAGTGCTTATATGTGGTCTTTTCCCATGGTTTTTCTGTAGAGCCCTGGCACAGTTATCCATCATGAATTTGTAACAGCATGCTTCATTTGGGTTTTTCACTGTTATCACTATTCTAAGGTTGGATTTAACTTTATGCATTTTTTTAAATTCTCCCAGTGAGGGTTGCAGAAATCTGGAACATTTGAATCTTTCCTGGTGTGATCAGATTACGAAGGATGGTATTGAAGCACTGGTGAAAGGGTGCAGTGGACTAAAAGCACTATTTCTTAGAGGTTGCACACAGGTACATTACTGCTTGGGTGTCAAGATAATCCTTTAGGAGTACAGTTTATATTTTGGTATTTTGAAAACCTCCTTGAATTTAGATGATAATGTTTTTGTTATAGAGTCTTTTTGTTTTTTAACACTATAAAGTGTGTACATTTGTAGCGTGCTACTTTTAATGCCTTCCTTTAATTTATTTTTTATTCATTAATACAGTTGGAAGATGAAGCACTGAAACACATTCAAAATCACTGTCGTGAACTTGTAATCCTGAACTTGCAGTCATGCACAGTATGTATTTTAAACTTTGAAAGAGTACATTCTACTTTTATAGCACCTTTTATCTAAGGATCTCAAAGCATTTTTCGGACATTGATGAATTCAAGTGTTATGCTTTTGAATAGTTGGGACAGCACATTTCTACAAGTCACAGAATATTTCAGTCACAGTGTTGATAAAATAGCTGAGTGGAACATGGCCTGTGCTGCCTGAGGCCATAAGCCAGCTGAATATTTCCACTGCTAAATGCGGATTTGGAACCTTTGGGCTTTCCATTATTTTTATTTGTAGATAGCTTTAGCTTTTAACTAGTAACTGGAATCAGTTAACTGCCATGGACCGTATACAATCAAAGTAACCATGCAGTCTTACTGATGTTATGTTATGCCTGTTTTCCCAGGTCCCAAGCCCCAAAGTCTGTCATCTGTGGTCTATTTTTAATTGTAAGTTCTTTGGGCAGAGACCATGTCTATGAGGTGCTAAGCACATTCTTGTGTGCTGGATATTTAAAAAAAAATTTTTTCTAGTACCATTACATCTACTAGATTATGCCAGGACAGTCCTTGATAGCAGGAGAAAAAAGCATACATTCTCAACATAATATGGAGGGATTTAGTTGTTCATCTACCTATGAATGGAAATTGCTGCTGTTCATCTAATTCAGTGCATCCCACAGTGCACTGAAAATATATTTGTTTTATGGTGTCATTTTATAAGCCTGATTTTTACTCCACTCTAACTCTGTAAGATGGGGGGGAAATCTCCTTTTTGGCTGAAATTTCTAATGGTTACTTACAGAGAAGAGAATAAAAAAAAAAAGAAGAGAGAGAGAGAAACTTGAGGTTAATTGGCCCATCCATTCTTTGTTTACATAAGTATGAAAAATTGTAGTTTTTTACTTTTGGAAAAGTTTTCTGCTGTTTATTGCAAGAGTATATCACAAAAACTATTTGGTCTGAAACCTTCAAATCTGTTTTATTCATTATTCCTCAATGAGTACTCCAGCATGAGGCCATTTGTATTAAGGTTTGATGGGAAATTGTGGACTTATTAGATGCCAAAGTCTTGAATATCTTAGAGCACTGCAAACATTACAAGCTATATTAGAGGTCTTGCAGTAGTTAAAAATTTTTGTGAACGCAGAGCTTCCATGAGATAAATGTCTAGGGTGAGACAGTGAGGCAATTTCCATTACAATCCTTACTTCTTCCCTTTCTTCATGAAGTTTTGCATGCTTATTTTCTTTAAAGATCCAGGGTGGAGATGGAGCTTTTCCCCTTTATTTGCCATATAAAGAATTTTTTCCCCCAAGTTGTTCTTCTGTTTGATTTTAACCTTAGAAGTCTGATTTTGCTGGAGGACCTCTGGGAGGTCTCATGGATGTTTATTGTGAACTCTAACATCTTAACTGAAGGGACAAGGGTATAGATGCTTTTAACAGTCTTTCTGCATCTAAAATGTTAGTCACATAAGTAGATGTTACTACAGACAAAACCCAAGAAGTCTTACTAAGAATCTTCCTCTCAATTGCTCAGCTGCTAAACAGTCAGTGTCTAAACTTTTGTGATATCACCATTCCACTATTTCTTCAGCCTATATGGGATCTGAATTCAAACTCAAAAATAATTCAGTATTCTTTGGCAATCTGGCTTCTAAAATGGGACCCTCATAATTGATTTTTTTGTCCTCTGTAAGATTTAATGCATAGGACTATTTTTTTAAGATTGGGTAGCTAATTTGAATATTTGAACTTCTAGAGTTCTGCAGAACGTATAGATTCTGCAACTGCTGCTTGAAGAGTTGGGATAACCTTTCTAATCCAAGTGGTATGCTTCAAAGAATTTAAAAGCTTTACATTCAAAACCAGAATAAATAAAATCTATAAAACTAAGTTTGATTGGAGGAATATGCATTCACCACCAGTGTTTAGAAGCTTCATGGCTTAGTGTCTAAGCTTCATAAATCAAATACCTTTAGTTCAAGTAGCATAATACATCCACGGAGATTGTAAAACAAATATTCTGATTCAAGGAATTGAGAAGCTTCACCAAACAATGGGCCAGATCCTGGGATGTGGCTAGCCTACGTGGAGCACCAGTTTGGGGGCTTTACCTGGTCTTGATGTAGCTCTGTGCAGGCTGGTCTCTCTGCAATTGTTAGACTAGCCCAGTGGTCTCAAACCTTTTTACACACAAGATCACTTTTTGAATTTAAGTGCAACCCAGGATCTACCCCGCCCCTTCCCCGAAGCCCTACCCCACTCACTCTATGCTCCCCCTCTTTGTCACTTATTCCCCCCCCACACTCACTGTCACTGGGCTGGGGCAGGAGGTTGGGGTTTGGGACAGGGTGCGGGCTCTGTGCTGGGGCCAAGGGGTTAGGCATGTGGAAGGGGACTCTGAGCTGAGCCTGGGGCAGGGAGTTGGGGTGCAGGAGGGGGTGAGGGATGCAAGCTTTGGGAGGGAGTTTAGGTGCAGGAGGGGGCTCCGTGCTGGGGCAGAGTGTTGGGGTGCAGGAGGCGGTTTGGGGTGGAGTAGGGGCTATAGGGTGCTGGCTCCGGGAGGAGGCTCAGGGCTGGTGGTTGGGTTGCGGGATCCTGCCGGGTGTCACTGACCTCTGGTGGCTCCCGATCGGCGATGCGCTGGGGCTAAGGCAGGATCCCTGCCTGTCCCGGCCCCACACCACTCCCAAAAGGGGCCAGCACACTCCTGCGGCTCCTGGTGAGGTACATGGCTCGGCGCACTGCCCCTCTCTGCAGGCACCACCCCCGCAGCTCCAGTTGCCCATAGTTCCCTGTTCCTGGCCAACGGGAGCTGCAGGGGCGGTGCTAGCAGGCAGGAGCAGTGCACGGAGACCCCTGTCCCCTCTCTCCCCCGAAGTCATGGTGGGGTGCTGGCCGTTTCCGGGATGGCGTGGGGCCAGGGCAGGCAGGGAGCCTGCCTTAGTGACAGCTCTACTGCACCGCTGGACTTTTAGCGGCCGGAAATCGCGATTAACTGGAAGAGTCTCCAGGATCGACCAGTTGGTGATCACTGGATTAGTCTGAATTCTGTGCTAACTTACACCAGGTTACAACAGTCACAGGGTGTCCCAAAGTGCTGCTGAAGATCCAGTCTAGTGCATGACATTCCATGCCTGCTCATCTTCTCTGCTGTATTAGTACTTGAGAGTATGAGTTGTATAAGAGCCCCTACATTGACTCTGTGTCACTGGAAGATTACCTTTACAATGGGGTAATTCTCCATAAGCTGATTGTCAGTTTTGGGGCCATACTGGACTGGTGGTTTTGCACTGCTTTGAAGAATCTGGCCCAATAGCTTACTGCTATGAAACATGTTCTCAGAAGCTACAGGTGCAGCATGTTGCTTAGATGGTTCACAGGTTAGCACTATGAAGCTTACTAAACTCAGAAGTGCGATCCATCCCTAACAAGATTTGCAGGTTCATTTTTGTGGTCCTTAGAAGTTAGCGTGGCATTGACATGGTAATAAAGTGAACTGGCATTGCCCATGGAGATTATTATTATACCTCATATTCAAGAGGTATTGCATTCAGAATTTATATAATCTGTGGATTGCAAACATCTTTATGAGCACTGTGGATTTAATTGTACTCTTTCATGAAAAGGATCTAGGTGCTGTGAAATCTTGGATAATTTCAGAGAGAGGGGGTTTGGTTTACAAATTAATGTAGAGTTCCATCCTTCTCCAGTGGTCACCAAGTCAAGTTCAATCATCTGCTTACTACTGTCACAATAATATCATTTTCAAAGACCAAAATAAGAAAAATTCTAGATAGTTGGTGCCAAGTAAAATAATAGAAGCAATTCAGTCAAGAATTTAAGATATATACTCTTTCTACAATGCCAGAAGGTACAGGACCAATATTAGGTCTAAAATGGTTCAATATGTCTGTCAAATTAAAATGATTCAAGATGGAAACTCTAAAATCTAGTCTCCTGTCTGTGGATCCAGGAGGATTTACATCAGGTGTAGCTATGAGGTGTACCTGTTTTTTAATCTGCTAGTATTCTAGAATCATGAAAGCTGCTTCAGTTTTCAGATGGGAAAATATAGTATATTACCAGTGCACATATTTCTAGACTGTGCTAATCTAAGTTCCAAGACTGGGGTTTTTTTTGGCTACCAAAAGTAATGTTTGTGGTAGTGGGTAGTCTCAGAAATAAGGTCATATTAATATATCTAGATAATTGGCTCATAAAAGCAATAAACAGAGTTATCTCAAAAGGCAGCAGAAATCACTGTTTTCATCACATGGGAATGAGCTTGTATTAACACAAAGGATAATTTATTTGGGAAACGTTATGTTACCAAAGTAGGAAAAACACTTCTTTCAGAAAGGAGGATCCAGAAGAACTGACACAATTAATCTTTCTAAATATCATAATCCTTCATTGTGTCCTAGAAGACTGTTCATATCATGTGTGCAACTAGTATTGAGCTGTTTTCAATTATGCCTGTTTCAGAAAATGACCATGCAAATTCAACACCAGGCATATCAGAACATAAGTTAGTTCTTTCTATCAGAGTGGCTAAACCAGAACACTATAATGAAAGATTAACTCAAAGGACATGGAAATGAGAGGTCTGGGTTCTTTTCCTGGATCTGCTGCAGGCTTCCTGGGTAATTTGGGGGCAAATCTCTGTATTTCAACATACCTTCTGTAAAATGGAGATAAGAAATAGTTGATGACCTGTAATTCTGTTTCTTTGAAGATACCATACAATAGGATTCCCACTCTTGGGTTTTGCATCCCCAGTGCAAGATAGATAGTAATTGCTCTTAGTTTTTGGCAGTCTGTGGCATTGGGCATGAACTCCTCCCTCATCTTTCGTTCTAACTGCTAGTGCCTCAACTCCCTCTAAACATTTCATAGCTAATCCCTAAATTTGTGGGAAGGAAAAGCTCCCGTAAAAATACAAACTGCATGTGATTGTAAATTAAAATATTTGCCACATGAAAACCATGCCAAAGATGGGAGAAAACCCAGCTTCACACTGCCTTAGAACAGAATCTCAAATCTACAGAAAGATGTGGGTGAGCAGGAATCCTATGTGGTGGTTGTCTCAAAGAAGCAGAGTTATCGCCTGGTGTGTGATTTCCTGCTGACGTTTTGTGGATGAAAATAGACAACTTATCATGGTTGCACATTGTTGATCTGATGTCATACTTCATGGCTCTATTTTTATTCCTAGACAAATTACTTGATAGCAGGATAAACTTCAACCTTTTTTATTTGTTGCAGCAAATTTCAGATGAAGGCATTGTAAAAATTTGTAGAGGATGCCACAGACTTCAGTCACTGTGTGTTTCTGGTTGTAGCAACCTTACAGATGCTTCTCTCACAGCACTTGGTCTAAACTGTCCGAGATTGAAGTGAGTATGTCACAGTTTTTATATTCATCATTGGCCTGATCCTGGGAGATTAAGTTTCTCCTATGAAATTCTGAGCACCTTCAACTTCCATTGATTTCAATTGGTGTTAAGGGTGTTCAGCATCAGGGCAAAAACCCAACCCCTGCATATCATGTGAAAAGAGGAAAAAGAATTTAGGTCACAGTTACTAACTGACTCTATATTACTTCATAGATACATACAAAGGATCCTCAGCTGCTGTGAGTTGTCATATGACAATTTCCACAAGCTGAGGATCTGTCCAATATATACTACATTTTATGGTTCGGTATCTTCTTCTTTTGCCTTACAAATAGTACTGTAAATCATACCTGAAATACTGACCTAGAACTACACGTAGGTGACGTTTTAGGTGTGTTTTGCCATTAGTATGCTATGCTGCCCAGCATTGTTAGACTTAAATGCATAATGGTCTAAATTGTCATCTACACCCAATATCTGATGGGCACAGCTGAGGTGGGGTGGCTCAAAATGAAGTTAGTTGCAGCTCCCTGATCCTCTGTCTTGTTCTTTCCCGGCACGGGTGTACTTAGAACAGCCTTTAGGTCCAATATGCCAGCCAAGAATAGCTACAGTATAGTAGCACTTTGGCTACATCTCTCCCTCCTTCAGATTGTAATGCCCTTATGCTGAGGGTTGCAGTGGGAATGGCATAGGTGTTGGCCGTGCCTGCTGTAAAGCCAGCTGGTGACTCTCCCACAATGGAGCAATGCTCAGCGCTAGAGGTGTTTTTGCTTTTGGCCCCTTTACACAACCAGAGCAGCACAGAGGGTCTGGAACAAGGAAAAGAATCTGGTTAAGTATATCTGAATTTATCTTCATAATGTTATTACTATAAGTAAATTATCTGCCAATTCAGAAATAATATAAATTTGCTGTTAACTTTTTATATTATAGTGGTATTAGCTGCACCTTGCACGCTATATGAATCAAAATAATTTCATGTAACTCTTAATATTAAGGAAACTTTCTCTAAAGGGTAAGTATTCACTATAGTTTCCCTTCCTTGGGCTACTTGACTTAAAGTGATATATGGTATCAAGAGTGATTTCAAGCCACAAACCTCTGTGTCTGTGTTAGATGCTGTAATTATGGGCAGTTCCTACACAAATTTTATTTCACCCACCACTAAAATGCAGCCATCTCAGGAGTGAAATATAGCTATTTGACAATGTATGGTAACCCTGCACAGTTAATCCTCATTTCTCAATATTTTGAAGATTCTGTTTAATGCAGAAATGGATATCTGCCTCCATCCTAGTCATGAAGAAGATTTCTATTATGGGGCAACTCTAATTAAAAGTATACGACATTTTCCTTTTAAGGTTGATTTTTTAATACAAAAATATTAAGCTTCTTAAAATGAAGTTAAAACCTTAATTATGACAGAAACAGATTCAAGAGTCATAACAGTTCTTAGGGAGGCTGACCAATTAAACTTTAATTATGAACCATTAAGGGAAAATATATATCAGTAAACTTTGTATAAAAAAAATTCTGACAAACTATATTTGGATGCCAGTATTGTATGTAATTACCAAGCACATTCTGCCATGTTCATTTTTAATCTGATTGGTAGAAAAAAAAAGAGCTTTTGTTTAATTTAGAAATACTCTCTTCAAGTCAATGTCTGTATCTGATCCAAATTTGGCTGCTTATGCAAATAGCTATGAGTGCTTATGCATGCTGTTGCTTCAGTCACAAGGGTCTTTTCAAACTGGTTTGTCACACTCCTTAGAAGGCTAAACCCCTTGCCGCTAGTTAGGACAAATCTTGAGTCTTTCTCTCTAACTGATGTCAGAAAAATATAGATACTTAGAAAGTGAACCAGGAATAATTTCAAAGGCAAAGAAAGAGGCCTAAAATACCGATCAGTCCCACACTCCTCCTTTCAAGTGAAAGACAACTCTCATGAGAAATCTCTCAAGAAAAATGTAAGGAAGTACCTAACGCGGGGCACCAGAAAATGTACTGCTACTAAGCAAGCCTGATTTACTACCCTGTAGCTTGTTGTTAGTCTCCCTCAGTGCCACAAGGAGACAGGCTTCAGCCATTTCTCATACAGTAACAAGATACCACCAAGGAAAATGAATCTGACAAAATGATCCCCATAGATCCGTCTCTCATCCAAAGTAAGGGTAATGCAAATTGCCAGAGACTGAGCTTCAAGACTATGTACTAAAATATAGTGTATTAAAAATTTCAATCAACGGGAGATACAACTCCCCACTTCTTTGTACCTCCTAAATAACTCATCTTTTGAAGAACTAGAAAACCTGCAGAAACCTTCTAACTCCCTTCCCAAAATTGGATCAGCTGATCTACTCACTGGTCAATTTAGGGGCAGGCCTTATAAGAATATTTGCTATCCAGGGATCAGTCTTACAACTCCACATGCTGTTCTCAGGCTTTCTGCAGAATTACCATTACAAAAAGTACTATGGTGATTAAACTCAGATCAAGACTGTCAGTGCCTTGCTTCTTCTTCACACTCTTATCAGCTATTTCTCTCTATCCTTTAGGAAAGAGTGAGGAATCCAATGAATCAGAAAGGTGCTTTAGCAATGCATGCACCCTCTCTTGAGGAGAAAGGGAAGAAAATAGTTCAAGTATTGCCAACTCTTCAATACTTCTAGTAGAAAATATCCTGTGTACTTAATAGAGTAAAATCAACATTCAATGATCTACTATACTTCAGCTGAAAAGGGGGGAATAGGTTGTTTCCTGTTCAACTGCATATGACAATGGCAGGTGTAGCCATATAGTGCTCTCTCTTACACACTTAGATCTTTCATTAACAATTGTTAACCACCTATGATGAACTGCTCAAGATCACAGAACATGGGCTTAACAAGCCTATAAAGAGTTGCTCATGGATGTTCAATATAGCCCTATTGAGAGAAGATGGTTCCTGTATTACAGAGAGTATTTACTAACTGACCCTATACTGGATAGACTTGGGAAGGAGATGAGATTTTTGAGGCATTTCTGAGTAGTGCTTTATGGTTAGCACTTTGAAACACACGACTACTTAAACTTTACCTGAGTAAGGATTATTTAGAATGATCTCAGTCAAGAACTGTATTAATCATAAATGCATTCGAACACACAAGTGACAATAGGCAGCCTTCAGTCTTAGCTCTAGTCTTACAGGGCAGTCATGGCTGCTTCCTATGTAGTGCTATTTGACAAGGTGTCATGAATGAATTAAAATGTAATCTATAATATCTCTTTCCAAGTTGAGTTACAACTCTTTCCTCCCTCTGGTTTGTCATACATAGCTTGGAATCTCTCGCTGTGTCTGTCTGTCCTGGTTTTTCTTCTTCGGTTTCCTTAGCAGAGATACCTCCCTTTTACCTTTGTAGTCTCCAAAGAGTATGACTATTCTGAGGATGCTTACCTTGGAAGAAAGAGAAAATCACTTAACTGTAATTGTAGTTTCCTAAAAACAGTGTCCTCAGATCTTCAGCAAGACCACACCATAACTCAGATCTACTATGTATGTCAGGGGTCGGCAACCTTTGAGAAGTGACGTGCCAAGTCTTCAGTAATTTAAAGTTTTGTGTGCCAAAATAAATTTTACATTTACAGGGGCCCCCAACAGAATCCCAGACTGCTGGTCTGGGGTTCTGTCCGCCGGCCCCTGCCAGCCGGGGTCCCGGCTGCCGGCCCAGCTCAGCTGCTGCTGGCCCGGGGTTCCATCCATCCAGGCCGGCAGCAGGATGAGCGGGGCCGGCAGCCGGACTCCAGACCGACAGCGCAGGGTGTTCCATCTGTCAGCCCCTGCCAGCTGGGGTCCCATCCGCCGGCCCTGCGCAGCCCGCTGCCGTATGGGTTCCGTCCATACAGGCCGGCAGCAGGCTGAACGGGGCCGAGACCCCGGCTGGCAAGGGGCTGGCAGCCTGACGCTGGTCTGGGATTCTGTCTGCCGGCGCGTGCCAGCCGGGGTCCTGGCCCTGCTCAGCCTGCTGCCAGCCGGGGTTCTGTTCACCCTGGCCGACAGTGGGCTGAGTGGGGCCGGCAGCCAGGACCCTGGCAGGCAAGGGGCTGGCAGCAGGAACCCCAGACTGGCGGCGAGCTGAGCAGCTCAGCCAGGCCAACAGCGGGATCAGCGGGGCCGGGACCCCAGACCGCCAGCACAGGCGGAACCCCAAACCAGTAGTGCACTGAGCTGCTCAGCCTGCTGCCAGTCTGGGGTTCCGTCCACTGGCCCCGCTCAGCCCACTGCCAGCCCGGGGTCGGCGGCCAGAGCCCTACACCGGCAGCTGGCTCAGCGGGGCCGGTGGACGGAACCCCAGACCGGTGAGGGCTGAGCGGCTCAGCCAGCTGATGGTCTGGAGTTCTGGCTGCCGGCTCCTGGCCATCAGCCCTGCTCAGCCCGCTGCCGGCCTAGGATTCCATTCACCTAGGCAGGCAGGGGGCTGAGCGGGGCCGGGATCCCGTCTGGCAGCAGCGTGACAGTAAAAATCGGCTTGCCACCTTTGGCACACATGCTGTAGGTTGCCGACCCCTGATCTATGTATCTGTCACACACCAAAGCCAGTTAAGATGGCCAGTCACCTGCATCCCCCTCCAAAACTAGTTACAGTATAAAGAAATAAACAGAGAAAATGCCAGCCAGTGCATAGAAAGAATTTCTCTAGACAGCCACATCAAATCTGATGCAATCATCAAAACAGACCAACACCAGAACCTTACTCACCCTCATGCTTATCAGTGCAATATCTGTGATCAGTATGCCCCAATATTATGGCCCAACCTAGTCTGCATCATGGCTCCCTAGCTGAATGACACAGTAGGACAGCTGTTAGGTCACCTCTCCACACCCCGTCACTAGATCTAGGGACAACTAATCTGAAGGAGGAATTGCCATTCTTTTCCTTTCTCACCCACTGCTGCCCGTGCACCAGTGTTCAGTGCTTTTCAATCAGATGTGTAGCAAGTAAGTGTGTGATTGCTCT